TATTTAGTTTATTTAAACTGCCAAAGAAGCGAAACAAATTAAAGCGCGTTTATTTTTAAAGATTACGCCAACCGAAAAATTTTAAATAAAATATTTAAAAAAAATTTGCTAGTTTTATACGTTTTTATGCAAAATAACTCAAACTAGTTTTTTAAAATTTTACATTAAGATTAAAAAAAAAAAAACTCCTGTTAAAATTAGTCAGATAACTTCAAACAACTTCATTTTATAGTTATGCACATCATAATTTTAACCAACAAACTCGTAATTTTAATTTGGATACCTCGCAGCAAAATAAATAAATAAATAATAAAATACGATTCACAACAGAATTAAGAAAATTGTGATCTTACCCAGTGGCAAAATGGTTGTTGTCCAATTTTTTTTGGAAAAGAAACTTTATTGTGTTTTCGTCTTGGACATTTTTAACTGTTAATCCTGAACTGCTCGGTGTACAATTTCGCAGACATATTTAACTGCAGCTCAGTCACATTCTGTGTAAATTCTTTTGATGACTGAATAGACATTGAACAGGTAATCGAGATCAATACTAAAATTTTCAGATTGGTACAATGATGTTTGATGGAAATTGTAAGCTGTATCATACACCCGTTTCGGATTCAGAAGTTCATACATGAAATATGATTTGAAAGCTAGGCTTTTTTACAAATTTTACATAAATAGTGTATGAATCATTTGTATTGCGTGGAAGACAGTCTAAGGTCATGTGCAAGTTATTGTGTACGTTGACAAGGGATCCTTTTATTCCTAACTGGTGATCAACATCCAGTTCTCGTATTTGCATGAAAGGGGTTCGGAGAGTAACCATTCGCTCTTCGTTAGGGTTCAATTCTCTCAACCACTTTGGTAGTTCTGTGAAGGACGGGCTTCATGCTTGCGTTTGCGAACGGAATCGTTTCGTTTTTCCGTTTGTGTGTAACGTTTAAGGTATTCCCGTCTACGTTCTTTGGCTCTGGCATTTTTAGCCTTAGTAAGTTTAGGCCTACGCATCGCTTTTTTCTTTCTTTAACTCTGACTTTCGGGACCGTATCAATCAGTTTGGAACCTCTTTATTTGTGATATTCACCTAAATTAGTATTGAAGGTTACTTTGAAGGTCAAAATTTCTGATTCTTAATTATAAAGCAATAGAAACTGAAATATCGTTCAAATGATGAAATTCTCTTCTATTCACAACTCAAGAAGCACTTATGGGATCTTTCCGGTCCCATATCTCAGAAATAAACTCACCAACTTAAGGCATAAGAAGATTAAAAGGGAAAAAAAAGAAGTATTCTAAAAAAATTATCAAACAGCAGCGGTCGCCATAGCAACGCATGCGCACTGTTTACTATTACTCTTGATTATTATAGTTGTAAAGTGAGGACGCCATGAAATCCAATCCAAGAACCACTTCGCCAATGGGTAAAAAATTACATAAATTTTTAATATAATATTGTTCTTAAAATATATTCAGTATAATCAAAATCTTAAAGATGGCACCACTACACTAATTTTTGATAACGTCTATGAGGCGTAGTGGTGGCCTCGTCAGTCGCTCGTCTTAATTTGTGGGAATATTTTTTTTTTCTGCCCTCGTCCTTTCTGAAGATAGAACAAGGATAAGAAAAATTTCTCGAACATTTTGTATAGAAATTTTTTAGATGTTTCTTTGACCACGATTTGTCCTGAGTTTTATGTTATTATTTTATTTAATAAAATAACTTGCATATATCTTTTTGATATTAAATTTGCAGATTATATAAAAGACCATTAATTGAAAAATAAACAAGAGATATATATAATTATTCTTATTGTTTCTCAAAATTTTATTATTAACATGCATGGTAGTCGGTCCACCCACAACAAATTTTAGTTTCGCATCAGCATATCCCAAATATTCATCGTAGAGGGAAAAAAAAATTTATGAAAATAATCATAAACTCTTTTTTTTTTTTTATTAAAACATTTGATAATGTGAGTACTACTTTTATTTATGTACATATTATTTTTTTCATACTTTCTAGCTGAAATTGGATGAGTTAGGAAAAAAAAACTTCTTAACACGTTGAATGCTACGCTAATTTTACATGGCTTGCCTGTTTGGAAACGCGGTAAGTAACTACAAACTAATTTTGTAAATATTAGACAGACTTTGCTAGTTTTTTAAATGGGTTAGCATAACATATATTAAAAAGAAAGTGGTGAATTATATAAACCTACGAAATGTTTAGAAATAGGGGTGGAGAAAAATCTACTGAATTGAATTTATTGAACCAAGAATCACAATTGATAAACTACCACTTGAAAATATTTTTTCGCTGTCCAGAGCAAGTTGGCATCTCTGTGAATATAAATAAAACTATTTTTGCGTGTTCTATATTGCATTAATTTCCTCAAACCATTTTAGTAACGATGATAATATTAAAGAAATTTATTCGAACTATGTTTTTTCAATAATCTTGGCTTCGCTGGTCACCGGTGACCCCCGTGGCGCTACGAACAAACTCAGTACCGGTCACCGGTGACCCCATGGTATTCAAGGTGTAAAACTGAAACCATTGAGCAAATTATCTTCGCTTTCATCAGCGTTAGGTTTCCTTATTTGGGAGTTTTACCATGAAAATATAAACTTCATTTAAAGTATTTTGATAAAATTAATCTACCACTTTTTTCAAAAAAGAATTTAATATAAAATGTTTTATATTTCTTAATTGATATAGATTTTCATTTCATGCACTTTTTTGTGAATGAATTACTAGCACGGAAACTTGCTGGTAATGTTATGATATGATATAAAGGCATTTGCTGGATAGCTCTAACATTGGGAGGAAATTATTTTTCTAGTGGTAAGAAAAACAACAAATGATTTCTGCTCAAATTAAGGTAAAAGTAAATTGAATATTGCCAATCAAGATGCCGTCTTTTGTGAATTGGATTTTATTCTGGGCAATAGTTATTGTCTTGTGTATAACCTTTTGCGTGCCAAAGTTAAACGTGTTAAAATAGTCAGTAGGGATTTTATTACCATAATTTAATTTTTTTTTACTATTATAATAATGAAGATATAAAATAAAATCAGACTCAGGAACTTCGAGTACATTTTTTGAAACTATTGTACTCTTTGTAACTTTGATTGCAAAATGTACTTTTTGTTGATAAAAATAAAATCGATATTATAACACCTCAATATTTTTTGATAAAATTCACCTGCATGCACAATATCGAAATTTATTTTGATCCGGTTTGAAATATAAATTGTTCAGAAAACAAACTTTTTTCCTAATTTCTCATCGAGAGATCAATCATTAACCGTTTGGTGCAGATGAAACATTTTCTCCTTTGTGAGTCTTTTTTTAATCTGACAGTAATTACATGAAAAAATATAGTTTTAAATTTATATAACACAACCTAACACTTACTAAAAAATTCTGTTAGATTATCGGCATTATATTTGTACAAAAAAAAAGTAGTTTGAAAAACTATTTTATTCTTATTTAAAATTTCATCGATAATTTATTTTGTAAAATAAACAAATTTCATTGATAATTGACCGCTTCTCTTAAAATTTAATGAGAGAATTTAAGTATTGATTTTTGAAATAGAGATAAAATATTTTTATAAACCGCCCCAGCTCCTTCTGTAACAAAAATTATTTAAAACAAAAAAAAACATATCTTTTATTAGAAAAAAGCATTTTAAGTAAAAAAGAAATCTATAAAAAGGGAAATATATCTCTTACACAAAAAAGAAAGAATTACATCTCTTCAAATATCACCCTCCCCCTTAACTCAATAAGCGAATAATCTGAATTATATCGATCAAAACAGCGAGGAAAGTTTTCATGATGCAGGGAACTGTTTCAGCCACTTCTATAAAAATATTATTTAAAATAAAAAATAACATCTTGAATAAAAAATAACTTTAAATAAGCACATTTTTGAAAAAGAAAGCTCTTTCTTAACTTAATTATTGAATCTGGGTCATAGGTGTTAAAATCGGGAGAAAAGCATTCTTGATGAAGGGAAGATTTTGCAAGAAATTTCCCTATTCATTTTCCCTGTTTAGGAAGATTTTTTTACTGGACCTTTTTTTAACGGTAACATTTTTAGCGGAACATTTTTTCCAAGAACCGATTTAACTGAACCGTTTTCGACGTTCCCTTTTTACCCGTATCTTTTTCTGTCCGGGGCCTATTCAACCGAATCGTTTTTCCCGCTTACACTTTTTACCGGAAAAAAGAAATTGTATGCGGGAAAAACGATTAAAGATGCATAGAAGTAGAAACATTTATTAATATCGAATCACGTATGTTTGAGAAAATCCAGTTCAAACTGTAAACTTTGCAGATATGCTAAGGCATATGCAGATATGCAAGAAGTTAAAACTAATTTGTTAAATCATCTTAAATCTAATTATTTAGATTTTTTAATTATTTTTATTTCCATTTTAAAAATTGCAGTGTTTTTAAATGTGAAAAATATTTGCGAATTATTTTAAAGCATAATATTTCCCACCATTTTAATATTTATAACACATTTACGACTAAAAACCGGGAAAAAAATAAGTAATTTGGTAGAAGGAAATTCTAGATTCCATCAATAATATAGATTATTGAAAATTTACCTTCAGTTTACCTTCGTCAAAAAAAATTCCAGTCTTTTCAAAGGAGAAAAATATTTTCAAAATCCACAATTAAATAAATAATCCTACTTTTTTATTAGAATATTAGGAAAAAAAATGTTTCTTAATAGAAATTTAGAAAAATATTTCTTAATATACTGGGCCTTCGGAATCTAATTAGAGTGAAATCAATTTTAAAAAAAAACTAATCGATTTGAAACATTATTGCAAACATAAGAATCCACAACTCGCATCCGACCTTCGGAAAAAAGTTGCTCTTCTGAGGTCAGAAAGTAAAAGTGACCTGAGGCCGATTTCTCTTTCCTTGATTAGTATAAGTTCTGGGTTAAACATTCAATTTCAACTGATTTACCAGTTCAAGGTTTCACCAACCCACTTTTCATTAGTGAGAATTTCATCTCGATCGCCAATAAGTTGTGAAGGTTCAATTTCATATTATAAAAAGAGTTTCTGGCTGATGTTTCATTTTCAAAAGCAGACATGAAATTCCAAGTAAGTAATTTGTTTTTGATTCGGATTTATACACGCTCTAAAAGTGTTTTTCAGGTTTAAAAAGGTTAAAAGTGTCTTCCGGGTTTATCTTAGATTAACTTGGCTGCCAACTTTCTACACTTTTAGCAAAAATTTATTATAGTGGTAGCTAAGTTTTTTTTTTTAAATGTATTATTTCTTATTCATTTAAGCTTATTTTCCACCCCACTACATACAAATGATATAAAAATTCACATGCAACGCCACTTTGTTCCAGTTTTTAAGTGACGAGGCCTTTAAAATGCTGGCAAAAAATATTGAAAGTTTTGGCTCCTAAATGTATACGACTCTGTAAAATATTTTGCTAAAAGCGTTTGAGGGCTGAATATAATTTGTTGAATATAATATTATTGAGGGCTTTTAAAATGTTGACAAAAGTACCAAAAAGCTGAATGCTTTAGAAAGGTATAAAATAAAAGAGTGATAGCTAAGATTTTCAAGACAGTTGGGAAATGCTTAAATTTATCTTTCATTTGTGAATTACGAAAATATAATCGGGTTATTTTTTGCACCCATGTATATTTTCTTCAAATTAAATATTTATTGATAGATTAAAACATCCAGATATATGTCTATACATATATGTGTTTTATAGAGCGATAACAGTATTAACTTTGTTACCGCTCTATAAAACATGTTACAAAAAGCGTATTATTTGTTAGCCTTGTTATTTAAGTTTTGAATTTATAAGCTCTAAAAGTGTGTTTCAGGTTTAAAAAGTATTTTTTTTGAAGAGTATCTGCCTGACTTACTTAAAATATGATTTGATATCTTTCAACATTTGAGATTTCAACGAAATATTTTTCCAGTGGTATTAAACTGAAGCAGGAGATTTTAAAATGAATGGATTTTTTATATAAAATTTTTCATCGAATTATTTTTTCAGAAAAATAGTATATTGTTTACTAAATTTAGCTAAATTGACTTCTAAATATTTAAAATTTAACTTTGATTTTATCTCTGTAGACTACCACTTTTCAATGATAGAGATAGTATAACCACCAGCAATCGGATGGCAGTGCATTTGCTTATTTCAAATTATTATAATAATGCATTACATTTGTTACCACTAGGAAAAATACTTTCTGAAACTACGAATTAATTAATCTTTTACTTATAGCTTTCATTACTCAACATTTGTTCTATATTTGAATTTGTGTTATTTTTGTAAAAAGTCTAAAAACGTATTTCTGGGTAAAAAAAGTTACTCTGAGTCTAAAAGGTATCTCCCCGATTTACCTCTGATTTCAGTTTATTTAATTCCTCTCAAAAATTAATTATAGCCATATTAAATCAATTTTTGAGATTCTTGCTTTTGCATGTATTTAAAAGAAATAACATGCATAAGTAAAGCACTTCATTCTTTCATATTTATTTCCTTCTTCATTTACTTCTAAATTTCATTAGTAAATGTTTGTTTTAGTATTGGATACAAGCGCTTTTAAAGAAGCGTATTTTAAGATTTAAAAATTATTTCATTTAAAATATTAACGTGTTTAAATAGTATTTATTTTTAATGCATTCTACAAATATTTTTTATTTTAATTTTGATAGTTGAATCCTTCAGATTTTCGTTCAAATCAAATTTTGTTTTTTTGAGATTTTTGACTATTTTTTAGGGCTGTCCATTTCTTACGCTTTGTTAGAAAAAAAATGTTAGTTATAAAGAAAAGTTTATACTTTAATGCATGATCATCACATTAAGCGCCGTAAGCATAAGGTTAATATTCGGTAAAAAATATTGGCAAGCTGCATTTAAAAATCTCTAAAACATAAATCGTCAATAAATAACCAAGAAATATTTAATTCAAAGGAAGTGTATAAGGATGAAAACATTAAATTTGTAAATCACAAAGTAAAGTTTACTTTTTTAAAACCTTGGCTAAGTCTCATTTCTTTGTCCAGGTAACGCAAACCTTTTCCTTTCGATCACTTGAAGAATTATTCTTGTAATATTATTTTTCCTTTAAGGATGTGTTCTTTTTTAAATCTTAAAACCTATCAACCTCATAACTTATCTTCAGGATTGTATTTTTATTAAACTTTTCAATAAAATAAATATTTTCTACTAATTGATTTATCATAAAATTCAAGAAGATAAATATGATGAAATAGCTTCTGTCAGATTATGCTATGATCTCATAAATGATAAGTATTTAATAAAATTTATCTAATTTTTTCTTGCATAACTTACCTTTAAAATTTTCCTGCAAATGAAAATCTTTCAAGCAATGTGTTAATAGGTGTTATTAGATGATTTAACTTAACCATTAAAAAAATTACATTCATGTAAAGAAGTCGAAAACATAAATCACCTTTTACAAAATAGAATCTGCTTTTTGAAAATAAATAAGAAATGTTTGAGGTACATGTCTATTTTTGTCTACCCTCATTTAAAATTTGCCAATGTAGTTAAAAATTAAACTTATTATACTAAAGTTGAATCAGTATTTCATTTAATAAATTTAGTAATTTTATATTTTAATGAAATTCCGAACCTTAAAATTGTCAAAATGATATATAAGTTGTTAACTATAATATTGATCAAACTGTCGAATAAAGCAAATTTTCGGAAACTTTATTAATTCCTTAGCTGGTTGAATTTTTTTTTGTCAGAAATTTTTACAAAAAATGCATATGGCTAAACCAGTTAAGGCGAACTTATAACCAAGTAATGGGTATAAATTAGACTTTGTAAATGTTGAATCTCAATAAATAATCTGTAAGTGAGTGCAATCACTTATGAAAATATACCAAAATTATACAAATATACCAATGGATCAAAAATTTACAAACGTCCAAGTATTCACAATATGCAAACTATTTATATTATTTCATGAAGAGTTATTGATGTAACTGTATAAGCTGACGTAAACTAAGATTTAATATTTTTTTTAGATAACTTTGAGTATTCTGAGCACTTTGGTGCTAACAGTATGCAGTGTAGGGTACGGTCCCACCCCACAGCATGCAGCTCCTCAACAATACCAACAAGTCCAATACCAGCGACAACCAGTACAATACCAACCGGTCCAATACGAGCGTCAACCAGTACAACATCAGCAATACCCTGCTCATCAACAACAACCACAGCAGCAATATCTTGTTCATCAACAACAGCCACAGCAGCAATACCCTGTTCATCAACAACACGCACCACAGCAATACAGCCCCGTACCAGTCACTTACGTCCAATCAGAACCTGCTGCTCACCAAAGTTCATCGGAGGCATACAAACACGGAGCACATGGTCAACAAGCGGCCGGTCACACACAATACAATCAAGGTTACCAAGCAGACAAACTTAGCCATGCTAACAATGCTGCCTCAGCTAATGGACAACACCACTTAGGAGCACACAACAGTCGCGGTACTCATGGAACTCAGCATAACCAGCAAGGTACTTATAGTAACGTTGGATCTTATTCCCAGGATACAGGTAGTGGGTTCGAGAAATCTTACTCATTCGATAGAGCAAATGGTTATCATGATATTGACGCAACCAATTCCGGCCAATCAAGCAGCCAAGCCACCCAAGCGAAGCAAAACCACCATAATATTGGTTCTCATGGCTCTCAATCAGTAGAAAGTCAAGGAGCTCATAGTAGTGCAGCAAAGTCTTCTCACGGAGTCCAAACTCACAGCAAATCTCTTTTTGATAAATACGGATACAGCCACGGAGGAAAGCAGCAAGGATACAGCTACTCTCCACTTTATGGATATGGATACCATTAGCAAAATATTGGTAAGTTCAGTCAGAAAAGTTTATTATTTTAGGCTTTTATAAGGTGTCCCGAAATTGAAGATATGAATTTCGTGTCATTTGTGGTTGAAACCAATTAAAAAAGGGGAGACAGCTGAAAGTTCAGGGTTATTAAAATGGTGTGTTGAGCAATGTTTTGGTCATTGCTATATGATTTCCTGTCTTGATAGCAGAAACTGCAATAGCATTTTTGAGAGTATGGTGGTAGGTTTTTTATTTACGTCACACTAGAGCAGCGGAATGGGCTATCGGCGACAGTCTGGGAAACATCCCTGAAGATGATCCGAAGTAATGCCATCGCGCTTTTGAATCTCTGCAGAAAGGAAGGTTCCCTTACTTTGGTGGTCGGACAGGCTGCGCACGAAGTCGAGCACTTTACGGTTGAACAGTTGAACGAGGACTGGTACCGCGCACCATCGGTCCCTACACAGGCTGATCAAAGTGGTAACCCACCCGCTTTCTAACCTCGCCCAGTGATGCTTGAATTCGGTGTTCTACTGTAAACCATGTCTTTACGATCAGTTCACTGCGGGAATTTTTTGCAAAGTCTGAAGTTTTAACCCCCGATCGCCTGTTTTTTGAACGTCGGAATTGAGGAAATTCAGATACATATATGGCACTTTTAAAAAGTAACGAGTAAAAGTACAAGTATTTTTAAAAAAAGTAACGAGTAAAAAGTTCTTATTTTAAAAAGTAACGAGTAAGAAGTACAAGTAAAAGTACAAGTACTAAACAAGGAAAGTAACGATTTAAAAGTACATTTCTAGGAAATCGAAAATTCAAAGTCACCTAAAATTTTATTCAATAATATTCTTATGTTCTTTAATGTTTTTGCAAAATTGTTGTTATTTATTTAATTATTTTTAATTTTGAAGGTTATGGATATTAATTTATTTTTAAATTCGGAGGAATATTATAATATAATTTAATAATATAATCGTATAATATAATTTTAAAATCAAATATAATTTTAATATCAAACTTTTTATGGATTTGCACGAAAAAGAAATTTTATCTATTGATTTTAATTTTTAGTTTATAATTTTTATTTGTTTAAATTACCATTGATTTAAAATTGTTTTACTCTTTAGAAACGCGTTTTAAAAGCATAAACATAAACAAAGCAAACACGGGATTTCAGATAGCTTTGTGATCTTTGAGTTAGTAAAAAATAATTGAATGTGCAGTATAAGATGAAACAGAAGATATTTAAACACGAAGTTAGCTGTGAATGCATGTACATTGCAAATTAATTTTATAAATTAAAAAAACATAAGCATTTTTTTTTAATTTAGTTTTTTTTTCTTTTAGAAAACTTACCGACTTTTAGAAAAAAGTAACGACTTCATTCGATATTTCTGTTACAAATACTTGTACTTTTTCCCTAAAAAGTAACGAAAGTACAAGTAAAAGTACTAAATTTAAAAAGTAACGAAGTACAAGTAAAAGTACGTACTTTTTACTTGTACCGGCGGTACAAGTAACGAAAGTAAAAGTACTGCCATATATGTTCAGATATCGATAAACTTAGATAAAAAAAATCCACCCTCGCTATTACCTGATGTGTTGTTCCTTGAAATTCTTTATACAGTATATCTTAAAAAACATTAAAGTTTCCTAATTTTTAAAAACTGGGAATTTTAATCTGCTTTTTTTTTAATCAAAATTATTTTTTACTTAAATATTGAAATATACTGTATTTGACACAATTAGAGATAGAATGATCGCACCCGTAAAGGTGATAAAAGCAATAGAAGAAAACATGATATTATTCTTCAATTTTTTTGTATGAAGAAAAGTACTTTTGCGATAAAGGCATGCTAGAGTAATTTAAATTAAGTTTCCACAACTTAAGGCACATGAATGGTTCATATAGGGCTACAATACTTTCAACTAATTTAAATATATAAATAAATAAATTATCAAATTAATAACGAGAAAAAATTATAAATAATAACAAAAATAAGAATTGAAAATTGGTGTGAACTTAAATGACAGCCTGCGTTGAGAAATTAGATGAAAGATTAATTTCAAAAAAATTAAAAATTAGCCTATTTATGCCTAGCGTTTGCAATAGTGTATGATTGCTAATTTCATTTGGTGGAAACAAGATAAATATGTTTACTGTGATATATTTATTAATTATAAAAATATTTCTATTTGGATCTGAAGTAAAAACAAAGTGCATTTTTAAAACTAAGTGGTAGACGGCAGAAAGCTTGATATAAAGAAATATATACTAACACTATTTTTAGATAAGTGTTTCTTAATTATTAACAGCTTCTTAATTTCCTTCGTTGTTGGGTTAAACAGTAAAATCTAAACTCCCATATTTTAAAGTACAAAATGCAATAGTAAGAGCGAGATAAAAATTTAATGATCTGTGTTGCATTTCCGATTTCAGAGGAGACCCGTGACTGAAATAAAATTTGATCTAAGGGATGCCACAGACGGCTAAAAATGTAAGAAGTGGTAGAAATTCAATCTTTGATTATTCAATCTTAATTAATACTATAGCTTACATTTCAAATTATTAATATTTTAAGTAAAAACATTTTTCTTTTTCAAGAGTTAACAAAAAAAAATGCTATAAAGCGTTTCAGAATTTATTAACATTTTAAATTTTACAAAGCACCACTGCTAGTATTTTTCAGTCGCCCGTAACAACACCATTTAAAATTATTTCACATAGTAATGCCCCGTAGCAAAAAAGGGACTATATATGGAAAATAACTATATGTAAAAGCCGGGATAGCCTGGTTGGCAGGGCGCTGGACTCACGTTCGTGAGAACGAGAGTTCGAATCGATACTCTTTGTGTACTAAATTGGAGATTGACCATTCTCTGGTTCAGTTCAAAATTACGAATCAGGCCTTAAAGTGAGACGAAAAAGAGAAAAAAAATGGCAGTTGAATTGTCACAATAATAGATAATTTTCGTGAGGGGTAAATATATTCTTGATAATAAGCAATTCATTTCTATTAATTTTATCTCGGGGATGGATATTTAATTATTCCCGAAAGAAATCTAAACATGAAATTTATTTGCTACCAGATTTTACTCTTGTCCGTCTTGATATATATGCATTTTCAGCCCTGCCGTGGATGATATTCATCTCCAGCTTGGTGCAACATCTCCACATCATTCCTTAAAAAACTCAAAATAAGCCAGAATAAAATCCTCAGGAAAATAACAAAAGCAAGATGGTTTATCCGCAATAAAAACATACATCGCGACCTCAACATAGATTTTTTAGATCATCACATTGCAAAGCAAAACTTCAGATTTTTTGAAAAGACCATATATTGTGACACCGCAGGATTCAACGAAATTTTTACTTTAGAAAACTTAAGAGAAGACATAAACCTCAGGCCGATTGCAGCTCATTTTTGTAGTGACATAATTTTAACCAAAATGCAAAATATTTAATTTCCTTTTATTCCAATTACCAGAAAGAACCACCTTAAAGATTAAATACAAGATGAATGGGAAAAAGGCCGCTAACGGCCCCAGGCGCCCAGCTATATTTCGATGATGATGATGACGTGGATGATATTGAGAAAATCAGCAAAAGAGCCATGACGGCCTTCTCTAGCTTAACCCTTTCGCGCCGACTGTCACAAATACGTGCCAGCATAAAACCGTATCAACCAGGGTAAAAAGATAAAACTGGTAATCAAAGTAATTCTTTAGCAGTTTATTTGTGGGCGGAGTTATAATTGTTTGATTTAATTAATTCACCATTACTTAGTGCAAAATAAAACTATTTAGTTATACTTTGAATTAACATTGATTATATATATGATTAAACTAACAATAAATAAAGTAAAAGCAAAGTAAGTCTGTCAAAATAGCAACGACTACATTTAAGTTACCGTTTTTTTATTTAATTGCATCCTGATTCTGATTTTGTGCGAAATCACCCGTCCCCAAGGGGTTAAGGCGGATACTAAATTCTAATTCGAGTCTACCACTGAATCTCAAACTTCTGCTCTATATTACTTGCATTAGGCCGATCATCACGCACGCAAGCCCTTCATGGAACTGCCTAAATAAAACCAAAATAAATAAGATTGAAACCATTTAAAGCAAAATCATCAGAAGAATGACAGTAGCATCTTTATATATTAGAAATAAAGCATTAAGAAAAGACCTAAAATTAGATACTGTTTATGAATTTATAAGCCAACTTCCAGTTTTTTTACCACAACGCCCTAAACTCGAACGCTGCAGATTTTTAATCTTATCTTAGACAAAGAATTAATTTCAGAATCTTACAGGCGCAATCCGATCATAAACTTCCTTCTCTCGGTACTCTTCCTCGCAGGCAGATACTTCGAATATTTTCCTATCAAGTCAAGCTCTGGATGATTGAATTGATGTATGAATGGGTCCCCCCCCTAAACTCGTGTAATGTATGGTTGTAGCACAAGTCGAATTCTCGACTTGTGCTACAACCATAATGAGAGTCGCCATCTATGAGAGTCGAATTCTCATAGATGGCGCCAGTGGAAATCAAGAAGAATCGCACTCATTGCTTTCATGACATACGACAACAACTGAATAAAAAAGTGGCAACTAGATTAATTTATTCTAAGTTGATAATTTTATTATTTTCCAGTTTTTTTTTCAAAAAGCTTTGAGCTAGTATGTATATAAATATACATTCTGCTAGAAGATTTATTTATTTCAGTAATTTATTATGATAGATGAAACTATTGTTGTTTCTACAAAATAAATTATGTAACTCTACCACTTTTTTGTTTCTGAAAATGAGAATCCTGCTTTTAAAAGGTCGCTAGGCACAAATAAGTCAAAAATTATTTCCAATTTAAAAAATTAATAAATTTATGTTAACTAAGTTTTTATTCATTGAAGAGGTGAAATTGATCGTTACAGTGTATATGCATTGCTTTATGAGAAGTTCATGACATTTATAATATTTTATTTTTATTTTTTCAGGCGTGTTTCAAATGCCTATTCTTCTAAAGAATGGACCATGAACACTATTTTTCAAAAACAATCTATTTATTGAATTTTGTCCAGTTTCTGTCGATTACTTGTAGTCAATTTATATTTTATGTGAAATAAATTTTTTTGCAAAGATAAACTTTTTGAATTGATTATTTCTTTGTATGGGTCCATTAGAGATTATTTATTGCAAACACTCTATTTTTACTATAATGTTTTTATTTATTCTCAAAATGGGTAAAAAAGTTCACTTCTTTCTTTTCATATTTCTTGCTTCTTGGGAATTTTAAAAATGTAGTTTCTAAGTTTTCTCTTAACTCTTAGCTGCCTTACGGAAAGAGAGTCAGGTATTTAGAGGTTAAAACTGAAATGTTAAGGATTAACTGGTAGAGTTGGCAACTAAAAGTATAGAATTTTATTTGTTACAAAAAGAAAAACATTGCTTCTCCATATGAATATCGCAAAAATAAAAATTTTGTTGCACAATTTTATCCCTTTGTCGAATCTTCATGTATCAACGTGACATTTTTTCTCAAAAAAGATATTTACTGAAGTCATAGACGTGCCGTGAAATGATTTTGACTTCTTGAATATAGGGATAATACGGGATATAGGGATAATACGATTTAGTATAAAATATAATACTAAATACTTTCAACTCAAAACTATTTACTACGAAAAAAATACATTTTCCAATGTCTCATTTATACGCGTAATTCAACTTAAAGTAACATCAGAGTAAAGGGCAGAAAGTCCATATATATCAAGACGAAGAAAAGTAAAAACTGGTAACAAATAGACTTAATTTTTACCTTTTTGTGGGGAATAATAAAATATCCGTAACTACCGAATTTTTTTAACAGTTAAAATTTAGATATTGAATTGCTTCTTCACCGAGAAAAAATTAAGAGCAGTGAATTATTTATTGTTAAGAATTGATTTACTCCTCCCGAAAATTATCTATTATTGAAATAGTTCTGTTACCAGTATTTTCTCTTTTCCGTCTCGCTATTAGGCCTATCAGTGTGATTTATGACACATAAAGCATTATGGCATGTTAGATGACACATGAATTATATTAGGGTTGTAAGTTGTTAGTCTAAGAAGAAAGCATGCTGAATTGGAGTCATCTGTCAAACGGTTTCTAAGCGACTTTACTTGCTGCCCGGAGCAAGTCGGCAGCTCTGCAATTTCTTAGAATTTTGCAGAAACCGGAGTAGTTTTTATTTCTAATTTACTATAGAAAGTAGATTCCGCGAATGATTTTCCTTCAATTTTCAACGAGAACAATTTGTAATGTTTCTCATAGTGGTATTAAATAAATAATGAATAAACAAAATTTCTACCACTTTTTACATTTCAGTTGCCTGTCTTTTATAAGGATCACGACTTCAGCTTGATAAATGGTACCTATTAATTAATAATATTTGTTTGCAAAGGGAAAAAATTAATATCGATTATTTTTTCCGTGCTAAACTAACATAATTTATCGCATCGTAAGCGTAAATGAATTATCTCCATCTTTCTACCCCTTTCCACATAGCAGAAAAGTGGGAAATCTTATTAGGCACACAAATTTTAAAAAATTCTGGATAGAAACATATAATTAAATTGCACAAAAACTGTATCTTGTAGAGTGAAACCGATTGCGAATTGTAATTCAGCAACGAAAAAATATCCAATTTTCTGGTCAAAAATCAAATGCATTAGAAAAAACAATTGAAATTCATTATAGCGTGAATACATGCACCTTGTGCATATCTGAAAATGATACATGTTTTTTCGCAAACAGAACGTACAGACAGACCTAATTATCCATATTTTTGTTTATAATTGAATCACTTTTAAATTTTTGAGAAGCCTGTTCTAGAGCGATAGGAGAACAGAAGAAATTTTCAGACTATCAAGAAGAATACTTATCAGCCAATCTTCTGAATTTAAGAGAAGTCCTATTTATTATCACAATTTTAAAAAAAATTTGAAAATAAATAAATTGACTTTTTCTATAAATTTAAATGATATAAGCAGTATTCAGAAATATTTTCTCTTTTTGAATATTCAGTATCCACCAGCCAAATGTATTGCTGACAGATTCATTTTTTAAGCATGCGCTGCATTGGGCCTCTGCAGAAAGTTACAACTAAATTGAAATCAATATTAAATGTATTTTATTTTCTGAAACGGTAGTATCTGTGGTCATTTCTATCTGAGCATTTGTCACGTAGAAGGAAGCAGTATTTTTTTTTTATTTATATAATATTACGTGTCTTAAAATCATTTAATAATTCAAGCACCTTAACTCTAAGTTTACGGACGTTTCTTATATACCTATCTCTACGGACACACGTCAATTTGACGTATGAAAGAATTGTAATTCTTAATTTAATAAATTCAATTTAGTAGATTTTTATACACCACTATTTATAAATAATTCGCAGGCATATATAATTCACCACTTCATATTACAAAATCTATTTTGTTGTTATTTACCATTTTTTAAATTTTTTTCGCGTGTCCGGAGCAGTTGGCATCTCTGCACTTAGAAACCAATGTATATGTATACTATAAGAAAAAAAATGAAGATATGAGATATATATTTATGAAATATTCTAGTATTTTATGTTTCAATGCTCAAACTAAGCAACTGAAACCTACCTTCAAAATCTGACACTCTGACATCAATTGACATTCTGCGTTTGTTCTTTCTATTATTGCTTATCAGCAACAGTTGTTTATCACTTGTTTTATTTGAGGTAACGAATCGAAGTATTGTCGGTACATTCCTATTTATTATTGATGTGATAATTGCTTGTTTACTTAAACTTTTGTCTAAATTATGATCGCGTCAAATTAACGGATATCCGTAGAAATAGGTATACCTCATAGAGAATTTCAATATTTCAACGCTTTTGAGGTAAATAGCATTTAATATATATTTATTCTGATCAATGGTTAAAAGTCATTACATGAGATAAAATAAAAATTCAAACGGGTTTTATAATTTTCCTTACAAAAGTCGAGATCCGTCAAAATGACGTGTCCCGTAAACCTAGTGTTAAAATTCAAAATTTTTTGAAACGTTTTCACAAAAATAATAATAATTATAACTAACTTTTTGAGGATAATTTTTGCATAGAATAATCTTTGGGTATGCGAAATTTAAAACTGTGTATAATATGTTTCAAAGAGCTAGAAAATTCGTCGATATATTGCGAAACATGCAAAAAGTAAAATCATAACTAAGAGAACTTAACTTTTGATCGCTCTCCTGACCATGCTGCGGGAATTGGACAGAATTAGAATTCGATGAAAAAGAAACTTGGTAAAAAAATGTGCGGTTATATGACTGATGTTGTTTCTAAAAATATTGTCTGCTGCGCTAATTAATGAGTGCAATTAATTAACGCAAATTTAAGTATAGGCCCTTGAATCATTAAGATCGGTTCTGAACACTAATTCCGATCATTTTTTCATATGTTATCCAGAGTTTTTATTTTTTTGGAACAAAAACAAAATAAAAGCTAGATAAAGGTAAAACTAAACATTAAATGCTAATTATGAGACTGTTATAAATTATTTATTACAAAAACAAAATATGTTTTTTTTAAATAGTATGCATTTGCAGGTTTGCCATGGGTGACTAAAATAGCAAAAAAAGGTGACGATGAAATTTTGGAATTTTAATAAAAGAGATAAAAATTTATAAATTTTGTAGGATATTTTTTTCAGATTGCAATAAATGCCAACTTGCTCAGCTTTGTAAGAAACTACTTTCCTGCAATATCAAAATTAAAGTTATTTTCAGTTAAGTTTTTTTTTTTAATTTGACATACTGAAAATATAAAGAATCATAAGAAATGCAAAATTATTACTGTAGTCTCGTGGTGACACTTTTAAAGAGTGGGCGTAATTTTCCTAATTCAACATGGTTTACTCTTCAATTCGCTACCAATTTATAAGAATTTTTAAAAAAGCGGAGTTGTTTTTCACTTTGTTAGTTTACAATTGAGAGTGGATTCCGAGAATGGTTTTCCTTAAATCTTCAACTATAACAATTTGAAATGTATCTCGTAGTGTTATTAAACAAATAATAAACAAACACAAAATTTTCTTCCACTTTTTACATTTTAGTTGCCTGTGACGTCGCTGCGTGACTTTTGTAAGGAACACGACTTCAGCCTGATAAATGGTACCTAAGAATTAATAATATTTGTTTGTTATGGAAAAAAAGTAATATTGATTCTTTTTTCCATTACAGACCAGCATAATTTATCGCATTGAGAACGTACATGTATTATCTCCTTCTT